CCCATTATGAAATTCCCTTCCAGTATGAATGAGCTATGGGTGCCTTGGCCACAGCAGATGGGGTGATGTCCATCTGGAGCCAAGCCCCTGGGTTATATCCTAAACCACAGAGCGATACTTCTATAGAATTAGAACCACACTCCTGACACAAACTAACGTGCTAACATTAACAAACTATATCACTGCATTAACACATTATATCATGTAGCACTTAGATGCCACCATGATCTTGTTTCTGGTACAACATAATGCTTTTACTCAGGCTACCTGCTCAGCTCCTCTTAGTTCTTCCCACCAGTAAGCAAGTCTGCCAGATGCATACTTCCCAATATATACGGTAAGAGAATAAAGGCAAATGAAGATAATGTATTTACTGGGGGGACACAATTTTTTTTTAGGTGGCCATCTGAACACAAGATTATTTTATAAACTCTGGGTATTTATGAAATAACCAAATCTTGATTACTTAATCTCAGTGAACATACCTGCGAGATGGGTGATTAAATTTACTCATCCAAGGTGTTACCTATCATTAATGGAGCCCTGACGCCTACATCCCCACTTTATGCAAACATCAAGTAAAAACATGACACTAAAGATGAAATAAATTGAAAGGACATCCCAATCAAGCATCCATTTTGTTGAACTGGTTATTACTTAGATAACTATGTATACATTCAAAGTAGCAATATAGATACACAGTAAAGAACAATACTTCTAGCAGTTCTTGTGATATTGCTGTGTAGACCCAAGTATTGATACACCACTAAATGTAAGTAAGAAAGTGTTGGATTTTTTTTTTTTTTTTACTTAATCAAGTTATATTGATGGTGGAAGAATTTCAGAAAGTTAGTCAAGCCTTTCCAGTACTCCACTCTTCTCTTTATTGCCCTAGTCACCAGCACTTTTTCCTGGAACTGACTGTACGTGGTCAGAATGTACCGCACTACATGCCAGGCTCCGGAGACCTTGCTCCATTTGAGTCAGCCTACCTGCAGCTGTGTCCTTTCCGATCTTCCACAGCATCTTGGAAGCAAAGGTAAAGGAAGAAGTCTCCGACCTGTACCTCCCAAGCAAAGGAAAACATCTGTTACTGTGGTTGTGTATGTATGGGAACAGATCACTGACCTCCGTCCTCAGACTCCTTCCAACTACAACAACCTTTCCCTCCTAAAGAGCTTTTGTGCTGCAACCACTTCCATATGTTGGGCAAAGTGTTTTCTCTATCTTGTCCTTAGTAAAGATGCCTCATCCTCAGACAGGCTGCTTTTCAACACAAAGAGAAGAATTCACAATTAGATACTAGATTGCTTCTGTGTGATCTATCAAAATCTAAATCTTGTAAACTGAGCACTAATAAGGAACATGCACATTTGTCCCTGGGTCTTTCTCACATGCTTCACTGACCATAAATATGTTGCTTTTAAAATTTAAAGCAAAGAGCCACATAAACACAACTTTAACACATACATTTTTGCAAAGACATTTGTATTTGACCCTCTGAGGAAGGGAACAGGACAAGCAGACTGTAAGGATTCTAAAAGAAATTTTACTAGCTTTGAAATAGACTATCAGGAACTCATCCCAGTGATTTCATGGAAACCTCAAGCTGCTGTTATCCCACTGAAGTAGGACCTTTTTGTAGTAGTGAATTATAAGAATAAACTACATTTTCAATACTTGCAAGTTTCCTTCAGGCAGGCATCCCTTTTTGTAGAATACCAAAAAAAAAAAAAAAAAAGCAACAACAAAAGGTCAAAATGTGACTAGACCTCAGATTTAATTCAAACTTTATTAATCTTCAAATTCAAAAGCTGAGAAAGGGAAGCTATCTTGAGATCCTATCTTGCCCTGAGATACCCATCTTATCCTTCTGAAAACCCCAACAATTTACATAATTCCTCTGTAAGATGATAAACATTTACTATCTGTAAGACATTTAAACATCCTTGTGGAGCTCTAACCTTTTACTGGAAGTGATCACTGCCTAGGCTGACATTAGACACTTGTATTTTACCCTGTCTGCCAGAAGCCTCAAATCAGTTGATTCCTCAAGCTGCCAATTAAAAACATTTTTAAAATGTGTGCAAGACATACACTTGTAAAACTATGGTGGTCATACAATTTTTTTTCCTTGGTCAAACACATCCAGAGCAGCTATACACAACCCAGCTGGAGAATGGAGTAGTCTTTTTACCAGTTTCTTATGGAATGGGTCTTAAATTCTTATCTGGGGTAAGTCCTCCTTTATGCAGCAAATTAGAAGAACAGATTTGAATGACATCTTCAAATCTGCTGCTTGACACGCTGAGTTTGCATGGGAGCTGCAGTAAAAGCAGAAGACAATCTTTTTGCAGTTTCTTAGCTCACCTTTAGAAAAAGCACAAAGGTCTTTAAAATGTAATACAGCATTTGTACTACAAAACCAAGAACACAAAACCAGTCAGTAAGCGTACAGCAGCAGAAGCAAAGAGGCCGAAGCTCTGCTCAGAAAGCAGGAAGAGGAGCTGCGTGACAGCGAGCAGGTACCACAGCCTCTCCGAACACCACTTGCAGAAAAAGCCTCAAGACAGACAATGCCAAGACCATGATCAGTCTTTACTTCTATCAGTTGTTTCACAGCACAATGAGACACAGCACAAAGTCTGTACAGAGGGATCTGCAGACATTTTAAAAACAGGCAATTATCTTTAATAAAAAGCATCAAGTCTGAATGTGAAAATACAAAGACAAACAATACTGCAGCTAATGATCACCTTGCTTCCTTTTGATTGTCTAAAGTCCAACTCACTGTCTTCTCTTAGCGCCTTTCTTGTTCTCCACACCACCTTCTCCAAACACCCTAGTTAGTGTAAAGCTTAATGCGTCCCAACTAATCTGTGTGGTATGTTTCATAACCTTTTCCTCTTGCTTTCAAACCCTGTTTGCTGTGTGTGGGAAGATGCAATGACTCTCATCGTACGACATTCTGATTCACAAAGAAGCAGCACAAGTGTTGTACATAATTTAATTTGCACTTCTGTATATAAATGTTTACTATATTGCACACTATTGCAGCACTTAAAAACATCTAATTATTGCAAAAATTAGTAAAATACTTTAAAGGATTTAAAAATAAGGGTTTTAATGCAACTGACAAGATAATAAAAAAGCAATTTACTTAATGAGATACAATCCTTTATGTTGGAAATGAAAGTTACATACAACTAGAGTACAATTAAAATATACCATATAGTTCAACACTTAATTCCTCAAATGTGTAAAATTAACAAGCTTCTACTGTCATAGATATACAATTTTTTCATATTGTGAAAAGGATTTTTCAAATTAAATACAGGTAACATAATATTCTGTAGTTATATTTTATGACTGTGTTTAAATGAGAGGGTTGTATAATACTCACATTGTCAAATGTACTCACTAATGCCTTGGAAATTGCACACTTCCCCTCCTTTTCCAAAATAGAATCTCATTTCCATACTGAAGTCTATTATGCCACATTGGAAAAGTATTTTACTTTCCAACAGGATTTTAATAAAATTAAAAAATAGCATAACATCATGGCATTAAGATGACTTTTCCACTTATGCCCACGTAGAATTTAATCTGGATATCAGACAGACATGTCAGAACCAATTTCCTAGACTTTTGTCTTACTGTACACGCAAGATGAATGATTACAGTATTTTACAAAACACAAAAATCTCTCAACCTTACTAGAATTATAAATGTAATGATTAAAAATTAAAATCATAACAGAATCAAATTGTGATCTCCAACATTTATTAAAATCTTTTAAAGTTCATAAACGACAACAAAGTTACTGTAGAATTTATCGCATACAGCTAGCATACAGCAGCATGTCCTTGGTCTAAATGAAATACAAAAGATTTTAACATTTTCATACAAAGGATTTCTTTAAATTTATTAATGTGACGATATATCTTTGTTACATAAAATTTGCTACAGCAAAGTATCTTATACTTTTCTTGCACATATGTAAGTATGGGTGGACAAAGACTGCATTCAGTGTCAGCCTCCTAATGACGTTGTGCAAAAATGCTCAACAACCTAAACATACAGAATGTTGGATGGTACGTTTCATATTCTTTTGTAAAATGTCTACAAAGGCTTTTCTTAGAGGAGTGTCATACAGATTAAAAGGAAGGAATGCCAGTTGTTTATTTGCACTGACATTCAAACAAATACAATGGCTATGTATCAATATAGCTCATTTTTTTTAAAAACAATTCATCCTTGTATGCATGTAAATTTATCATAAAATATGAGTCTATTTTAAACTGTTTAGATGTGCTGTTTTAAGACAGGTCACTGAGACAGCCAGAATCAAGTGTACAAATAAAACTACTATGAATAAGTTTAAAAGCAACCCCCAAAAAAGTGCTGAGCCACTGATTATTAACATTGAAATAAATGTGTAAAAGTGCCCAAAGCTAGCACATGGTAGCGATATCTTTTAAGTCAGTTGGTGAGAGTATACAAAACATAATTAAGCCCAAATACTTATATCTGTGTGACCATACATTCTGTTTGATTGAAAGAAAGTAGGTTAGAAATGAAGACACAACGCAACTAAAATAAACCCAGCTGTTGCAGTTTTTAAACTTTGTCTCTTTTCTTCGTGAATGAAGTGCTGTAATTAGAAAGAAAATGATTGTAGCAGTACTCCATCCTCAGTTTACTAATATAGTATACCAGAATAAAAACTTGGCAATAACCTCTTATTCTTAACAGCTAACAAAAAAATAACCGTGTTCATCCAGCAATGCATCTAGAACATTATTTTGCATTTGCTAAACCATTTGTTTTTCACAGCTAATGGCAGAGCGCATTTTGCTTTTTTTGTGGTGTGGTGGTTTTTATTTTAATGAATGCCTTTTTTAATCAAAAAAGGCTCAAAACAAGGAATACTTTGGGAGCCCAAACATCGGCTTTTGTATTGTTTCATTTTTTTAAAAAAGAAAATGTGAATCAACATTAATCATATCCTTTACAATACTGACCAAAACTTCCTGTAAGAGTTTAGGATTCGTGTTCTTGAAAGAGCCATTTCATACCTGCCAACTGAAATGCTGGTAAGTTGACTTGGTTAAATATGGTTCAAAATCCAGACCAGGTGGAATTACTCCCTCTCACGAGACTGTAAGCTTTCTATGCTACAGTCCGGTTATGGCAATTTACCTACTGCCCAGGTGGGACATACAAAGGAAGGAGGCAGTGATGAAAACTGCAGGGATGTAGAAAACCAAGGCACGGGGTCTAGCTACTGTCCCCTACTTAAGCCATCCAATTGATTCTACTGAATTTTGGTCAGTCTCCAGGAAGAAATGTTTTTAAGTTAATTTAGCAGACATTTATATGGCGATAAATACTACCTTCAAAAATGCCTAAAATGTTGGCTAGGTTTAGTCTGAGCTACTAAAAAATTATTATAAATTGTAGCATCAGACACAAGACAGACAAGAATTATTGGCTGGCACAGACTAGAAGCAACATTTATCTTTCACTTCAGTCTAAATCACACTAGCCGCAACACCTTCCATTTCACTCACACAAATAATACATTATTCAAAATAAAATGGAGCATTCTTGGGTAAAAAACTACTTCATTTTAAAGGGGGAAAATGAACAATACACAGAAACAAAGAACGACAGAAACCAAAGTTAAGTAGGAAAGTGGTCTATTATTCTGTGTTACTGCACAAACAGTGCTTGCTTAATTGTGCCTAGTTAGAAGGGTTGGTGCAAACTGCACGCATGGAAGATGGCAATAAAGACCTCAGTCAGCTTTGTGGAATGAAGTAACTAGGTAACTGTTTTGACATATGATGGTCTCAGCTCCACCTCATCTGTTAACAGAGTGCAAAGATCCCAATGTGAGCCCTGATGTCATCTTGTCCTCTTACTCCTACTAAAAATCAGCAAATTCTTTTGCACATTTTTCTGTTAGAGACGCACGAATATCCTCTTCTTCATAGTCATCAAAGTTGCTGGTATCTCCAGGGCCTCTGCACTTTGGTATGAATGGAGCTTCTACCTGTATTTAGGACGGGAAATAAAAAGCGCATATGAAATGTTATCGACCTAATACCTTTAGATTTAACACTGTGTTAACAAGCACAACAATATTCCCATTACTCCTCAAATCCTGCCAAGAAACCAGGTATTACAGTGAACCAGCTTAAAGCTGTGGCAGACAAATAAAACTAGCCTAAGAAGGTGCAGGACTAGATGTATGAATGTGCAAGTTGAAAAAGACCAATATCTTACAGACAAACACCAATAAAAAAAAATTACTTGAACTTGAAAACAAAGCTTAGCTCTCTTCTTGCAGAAGAGACCCTGCTCTCAGCTCATCAGCTGCGTGGTGCAGTTCCCAGCGTGGTGAGGGCTGCATGTAACAGTCATACGGTCATGGTGGAAGCAGAGAAGTAGACTGATTGCCATCAACACCACTCAAAAATCTCAGGGCTGTTTGGAACCCTTCTCCTCCTACTTACCAACAATCCTCTACTCCAAAATAAAAAATAACCTAATACAAGTTAAAACCAATTTGTTCTGTATCTCCTACAAAGTTCCTCCTAGGACCTAACTCTAAGTGACAAGTGAAAGCCTTTGCAAAACTAGGCCACAACTGAGAGACAAGCAATGACTTGAAAGGGTCACTAAAAGAGTGTATAGAAATCAGTGCAGCTCTAACTAATGATGGAAAACCCGTTCTGGTGAAGACTGCCTGCATATTCTCTCAAATCCAGATATATACTTGATTAGCCTTGAGATGCAGTGCATCTCATGTCAACTGTACGGCAGGAAGCCATTCACACTCAGGTATCAGACCCAGTCGTTTTCCAGGACCCTCTTAACTGCTGCTGCTTAAAGTTGAGGGAACTTGCAGCTTTTTGAGGTTGACCTTAAAAATAAAATCCCTGGGTCTGGCTACAACTTATCAGTCTCAATCTTTCTGTCTCAATTAGTGCACTTCAGCCTCTACTCATCTTGGAAGTTAAGATGACCTTAAATGCAGACAGGCATCTGCACAGGGACATATCTGCATTTTTACTGGCTAACAGCTTTTGCTGTCCCTACACAGTCAGGGGGAAAAAAAATAAAGAAGGAGATCGTCCCAACTTGCAGACACTGAATTGCTATTTTAGGGAACAGACTACTAATATCCACCTTCACTCACTTAATGTTAATTCAAATCTTAATTCTTCTAGTCACACTTCTATCTGTGTCTTCTATCACACTTCAAAGTTCAAAATTAAGCTTAATTATTTTTAAAATAATCTAAATTTTAGAATCAACTGCATGCTGAGAAAAGGAATAAGAAGGATTTGGGGTTGATGGGAGGCAATGATGCAGAACAGATGGCTAGGAAGGGACGAGAGGGAATGGAAGACCTGAGAGAAGGAAAGAGACTCTACTGAAACAGGTCTAGGACAAACTGGAGTTGGAGGCATGATTTTCAGTACCACATTCCTCTTTCTCATTTGACAGGTGCCTGGTTTATCTACCTTTATGGGGAGCAAAATTACAGGAAAATTATTGAGGTGATGCAAATTTAAACCTGGAAATGCAAAGTTATCAGAGAAGCATCTCTCTCTGGGACATCCCAAGGAGTACGTGTGCCTGAGGCAGCACGGCGGGCAGACAGATCAGCAGGGCTCCAGCCAAGGCAGGGGATCAGATCACACTGTGCAACCACAGAACTGCTCAGTGCCCCAGGTAGATTACTGATGGCGGGGTGCGTGTGGGGGTGTGTGTGTGGAAATCGGTAAATTAAAGAGGTACAGGGCAGACTAATACAATTTAAACTCTGCTGACTTTGGGTGATAACACTATACATGCCCAAGAAATAACGCTAACTTCTGCATTGATAGACTGTGATATAACTGTCATGTTTTAGGAACAAAAGGATACATACAATATATGTGCTTAGGTGATTTATCCTGAGAGAATACACAGTCTGTGTACAGACTGAGCCTACAAAGCTACAAATGTTTACCACTACCTGAATTCTGTCTCTGCGTCTTCTCAAACTGATTTTCAATTCCTTCCTTACAACAAAGCTCAGAGCACAAGAAATATCTTTTTTACTGCTGGAATTTTAGAACACGTTCAAATGAGATGCCTCACATTTTCTCCTATTATCTTCACTAAGGAAATAGCTAAAAAGAGATTGCAGGAGCTAACACTGGTTTATAGCAGAAATACCTATTTGTCCCTAAATGTAACCATATTATCAGGCAGCATTTTAATAAACAACTACACAAACACACAAAGAAAACAAGATTTGATCTTATCTGAAATACTAAGTAATTGACTGGCTCACTTATGACTGTAGCATAACAAATTATTAACATTACATTAGCTGCCAAGGAACACTACGTTTATTCAGGAAAATACATGCTGTGGTAACAGCCACTGTGAAAAAGCTGGTATAAACTCAAAGTTTACTGCTGTATTTCTATGACTGCTTAAATGATATTACAATCCATGCTGTTGTTTCAGACCTTTAGTGTTACAGTACTTACTCCTTAAAATTAGATGCTTCAAGCTTATTCAGCATCAGTTTTTACAATCCTTTAAAACTAGGAATAGCTATTCTGACTGTACCACTCGTTCACGTTTTAAAATATTTCTTGTTTCTGTGAAAGTAATTATCTATAACAGTGCACTAGCAATGCTAAGAATATTTAGCACGCTATTAAAACATTTAATATTATGGGGCCTGGGTGTCCCCAAACTGCATACTGTGCATATAAAACTGCCTTGTAAACACGCATTAAGAAAGCAAAGAACAGACAATTACAGTTCTGCAATGGGGAATCTTTTCTTAAAACATCTATACTTTATACAAAGAAAACAAGACTTGTTAATTGTACCCTGCCTTCTAATAATTAATACATTAGTGAATACTACAACAACTGCACTGTCAGGTTGTGTAGCCAAACAACCAGTTTCTTTTTAGAAACTATTATTAGTATTTAGGTTTGGCCTTTAAAATGCTGCTGGTAAAGCAGCAAGTTCATGCCTCTATAATTAAGACTGTTAGCATTTCAACAATGTAAACCAATTCCTAGAAATGTTATCGCTTGACTAACCTTTTTACCAATATCTAGACACAAAATTATTTCTCCACCTGAGTCTTCTGGGACAACACCAATGAAGTTATTTTAGTCTTTTATTATTGTCTATTGAAAATCCAAGAATTCAGAGGTTGCACTTAAGAGAACAAATAATTTCTCAGGAATCTGTTTCCAGTAACTTATTAATCCGTGGATATTTAACTTTGACTCTACCTTGAAGGGGAGAGGGAGCTTTGGAGCTACTGGAAGACACACCTAGACTGAATTGTCATCATCCTCATCCCTTTTCCCACTTTCCTCTCCCAGCTCTGCTATATTCACCCTCGCAGCTATTAATGTGCTCTTCTCAAACCAGTATGCTAATGGCTGCTTGTGCTCTGAAAATATTCTCAGTTTTCTCTGTTGCTTTCATTCTTATGCAAGTCTGAAGTCCATAGTGCAAACTCGGCATGGACTTTCTAAAAATCACATTGCAAGTCATGGAGGTCAGGCAGGGCTAGAAAACCATTCTAAAAAATGCCAGAAAACAGCATTCAGCAGGGGTCTCTCCATTACAGCTTATGGAACTGCAGTCAATTAAAGTGCAGTGTCAGAAGGCAAAAACTCCTCAGCAGACACTGAGGACTGAGTAAACACTCTCTACATCTGATCCTGTCCCAGTCACAGATAAAGCAAGAGCAAGAAGGAGGGAGCATACTTCTTTAGCAGACAAAGAGAAGCTCTAGGTTTGGCTAGAGTTCCTCCACACAGAAGCATAGTTGGACTGCTAAGAACTAGCTGGAAAGGCAGAAAGCTTCCTCTCTGCTGTGGATGAGTATTTACAGATGCCACTATAGCAGGTGTTAAATAAAAAGCAAGAGAGGCAGGAGATGGGTCATTCTGAGATATTCCAGAAACAGACTAAAGCACACCATCTGTTAAAACAACATGAATGTACACAAAGGCCTGGGATAATATAGCAACAAGAAACAAACATAATTCAATCAGGAGAAACTCTTCAGAGTGTTAAAGATTAAACTACTTTCACCTTTTCTTAGTTTAATTAAAAGTGACAGATTTAGGAAAGCAAAAACAAGCAAAATAATTAGAAATTTTACTTCAACCCCTTAAAGACCCATAATAGTTTTTATCAGGATGGGTCTTACCTTTCTCTGATAAATGGCAATCCAATCTGTAGTTGCAAACCACTTGTGATTCTTTATGTCATTTACACCATTCTTGAGATTTCCATATCGTTTGGTCAAATCTACCTGAAGCAAATTTCTTAGAAGATCCTTTAGGTCTGAACTGAAGTGTGACGGGAACCTTACCTAAAATATATATATCCACAACATCAAAAACAATATACAAATTTTATTCTTCCCCCTGTGAAGTAAAACAATGTTCACACAAAAGGAAATGTAGAGACCATTTTCTATTCTCTCTCTAAAAACAAATCAAGTAGGAATGCACAAAAAGAGATGTTATTGTTGCACATGTATTTCTGTTTCACAGAGCCTTTATCAATAGCACTACCATGTGCATCAAACATTTTTTTGAACTGGAAGTTTCTAGATCTGATTGAGTTGAGAAAAATATTAATTTAATGTAATAATGATAAAAAAAGCTAAATTTCACTTGGTATCTCACCAACATATCATCAGACATTCTCAACTATTTTCTAGGAAACATTTTTAGTTTATATTATATATACATACACATGAGATACAGTATAATATAGCATATACACAACATATAAATAGACAGATATGCTCTGAAATAACTGAACATTCAGCAATCATATATGAAAATTAAATCTGGCACTTTATGATTTACTGTAATCTGTTTCTGATAACTAAATACACCAACATCAAAAGTCTTACATAAATAACAGAGCATTATTTGAAGATAGCACACGAGTGACTTGTGAACACAATTAATCCAAACCTGGCTAAGAAATATTTGAAGATGATTTATGGCATGTAATTACACAGGGTTTTACTAGCAAAAGGTCGACTGCTACCTTCTGAGATGGAAGAAAGAAGAAAAGGGAAAAGAACAGCCATGCCCATAGTCTCACTGCTTGACACTCCTTATATTCAACTGATCAGTTATGATGTAAATGCGGAACATGGAATTATTTAACATAAAAACATGCTGAGAAATCAAGAGGTCCAATGAGAAATCAAGAGGTCCAATAAGGACACTGCTTCAGTTTACCTGTCAATATGGCTTTATTATAATACATGAAAAATCCAGAGGTTTTAAAAAATATAATACCTAGACAACTGAGAAGTAAGGAAATACTAACTCAATTTCTTAAGAAGAGAACTAAGTGCATGAGGTAGAGCAATTGAGAGACTTAAGGTTATAAGGGAAACATACTATTAGCTGAGAACTGAATGTTAAGAGTTTCCAGAGTTCAAGTCCAGTGCTATTTCTGCATCCATCCATCCATGGACTCAGTGAAAAAGGTAGATGATCAACAGTACAAATGTCAAGCAAATTAGATACAACTGCAAAAAATGCCCAAGTTTTTTTAGTTTAGAAGGTAAATATTTCTTTAAAAATATATCTTCATAAATGAATTCCCTTATATTCATGGAGACAGCTTAAGTGTCACAATATTACAGCCTTTCAAAGAGCAACCACCTTCTTGATTTAAGTAAGGTCCTAGACAGGAATCAATCTCACTGCAGTGTACCACAGGGCCTACTGAAGCACTTCCCTCAATTAGAATTACAGAAGTAATTACAGAAATAAAGTGTGGCACAGCATGTGTTTATGTGAGGACAAGGAAGAGAAGAACCAAAACAGATCAAGTGAGCACAAGAAACGTGAAGAGACAACACTGTCTGGCAGGAGAAACAACAGAATGATCACGTTCTCATGCTATCTGGCACACTAAGAGATATTAATGAAAAATAAAAGGGAAAAGTTGGAAACAATAAAAAGGAAAAGCTGGAAAACTTAAAAATTTATATAAAAATGAAAGCTGTACAGAACATTGAACTACGGGACTGCAGGAGTAAAGAAACCTACTAAGAATTAAGGAAATTCTAGAGCTTTTCACAAGCTGAAAAAATGCTTCTAGAAAGAAAACAGCTGGGCAAATTAAGCATACAGCTACGTAGTTGTTAATAGTTGTTGTATCACTTTTATCCAAGCATAAAATGATATAATATCACAATATCTGCAAATTTAATAACTTCCATTTTAAATTTGAAGGCAGTGAACACATTTTTAGAACTTTGATTTTTAGTACTACTGTAACAATGTCTGCATTTAAGAAGTATATGTTACAAACTTTTCCCATATTCTTTCCAAATCACTCACTGTCTAGTATCCATTAAATTGTGCATCTACTCCACACAAAAAACAGATTCTGCAAAGACAAACAACTGCATTTGCAAAAACACACAAAGCCTTCACTCACCTTGCCAGACACAATCTTCTCATAAATTTGAATGGGCTGATCTGCAAAGAATGGGGGATATCCAGCTGCCATTTCATAGATTAGCACTCCTAATGCCCACCAATCCACTGCCTTGTTGTAACCCTGGATAAAATTAGAAATACCGCTGTTTGTACATTTCTAACATAGTTTAAGATTTTCAATATATATCTATGGAATACAAAGAAAGCAAATGCATTATTGCTTAATACAGAGCTTACAACCTAGTTCAAACCAAAGCTCACAGATTCCAACAGCAATATACTTAAAACCCAATATAGTGATGACAGTGAAATAGTGATGAAAGGGAAACATTCTGCACACATTCCTGTGCTGAGTTGCAGTGATGTCTTTACACTGATGTGACAAGACTCCCTAAGTGACAGAAATGGACACCGTTTATTTATTTAGTTAATTAAAATAAAAATAATCTTGTTACAGAATGATTGAAACTTCTTTGAAAGCTTAGGGAAATTTCATTAAATATAACAACACTTCCTATATTGTATACCATCATCTTTTTGCTTGAATATCTGCATTTCAGAACATCCATTTTCATATGTTAAAGATTAATTGGCTGTTACAGAGTCACTTATGATCTTATCTTTAAAGCGTAAAGATAAAATCACTAGTAAATCCTATCTGATATTAAAAAAAGACAGAAAACCCTACCAACCCCATTGATTTTATATGTGTTCTCTGAGATCTTTTACAAAGCTAAGGGCTAAGACTCAGACATTCCTGAAAAATCTACTACAGAGAATTTGTAGTAGATACATGGAAATTTCTTCTGCTGCGTTAGATGCATAGGGGCAAAAAAGCTGCAAATAACAAACATTTTCTCCCCAAATAAAAGTCTTTTCGGTTTACTTTTAAAGACCTGCAAAGAGTATTTAATTATACCACATATTAAAATGCATAACTTAACATTATGCATTACGATTGTTTATATCCTAAGCAGTTCCATAAACGATATTTTTCCTTTGCAAAACATGAAGGGTTACAGTTGAACAGCTATATGAGAAACAATATTTCTTCTATGTTCAAACACTTAGTGCAAGTACTAGACACAAACTGATCAATGGTAAGCTTAGATTGCATGTACTTTATGTGTAAAACCAGTAGTTTGTCACATTGGATTTTAATGTAAAGTGCCTTAAACCTGAAATACTCTGCAACTAGTTATATAATAACTACTGATTCATCCAATATGCACTTCTTGTTACCTCTGGAGTTCCTGTTCTAGTCTGTTAACACTTCAGAATGTAATCACTCAGATCTGCTGTTCTGATAAGGGGGCCTACAGGAGAGATGGGGAGGCACTCTTTATCAGGGAGTGTAGTGATAGGACGAGGAGTAACGGTTTTAAGCTGAAAAAGAGTAGATTTAGATTAGATATTAGGAAGAAATTTTTTCCTATGAGGGTGGTGAGGCACTGGAACAGGTTGCCCAGAGAAGCTGTGGATGCCCCATCCCTGGAGGTGTTCAAGGCCAGGCTGGATGAGGCTTTGAGCAACCTGGTCTAGTGGAGGGTGTCCCTGCCTATGGCAGGGGGGTTGGAACTAGACAGTCTGTAAGGTCCCTTCCAACCCAAACCATTCTGTGATTCTACAATAAGGATGCTAGTTAAATAATCTAGTGACAGATTCTTTAAATCACTTTTTCCCTCACAAGTTACATGCTAATAATATGTAGAAAGTTCTGTACAGTTATGTGAAAATATCTGCTTTGGAGTAAGTTTTAGTATACTAAAAAAAATATTTTTTGCATTTTGTATAATTCACAAAGAGCTGACTCGTCAAGATTTGATTTTTGGAAGTACTTTTAACTGCATCAAATGCACGGCTGAATAACAAGACAGTACCTTGCTGAGAATTATTTCAGGTGCCAGGTATTCTGGAGTCCCACATAACGTCCAAGTTCTTCCTTTTACTCTTTTTGCAAAGCCAAAGTCCGTGACCTGCCATCAGAAGAAATAAATTGACTATAAGTGCATTTCTACAAAGACATTTAAAATTAAGTACTTTTGAAACATTTTGGACAGCTATTTGATACAGAGGAAGAATTTGTTTTTCAAATCACACAGGATCATATAGTCAGATTACCTTTAGGAGCCAGTCCTTCTGATACTTCCAATTCATACAGATACAAGGTTTCTTGTGATTAAATTAATAAATGACACAAAATACGTATTTTCCCTCTGAAACAAGCTTCTATTTCTAATTAAAAAAATTAGCAGGAACTATCGCTTGCTAATCTTCTACATGTACTGCATGTAGAATTACAATAAATTACATTGATAATTTTTCTTATACTTTTCACATCAGACTGTTTATACTGCTGAAAGTTTAAAGAATGTGAACACGAACAAGATATTTATCTTTTCCTTTAGTTAACAAATAAATGAACCACAAAAAGGGTCAAGACACCCGCCAGTGTTGTAAATTTAGAATTTTATTGCATAAGTGTATAAAGGTTACATATAAAATTAGTGTGGGAATAAGACAACATAAAAGAGGTCTTCCAGTAACTTCTGATTCTGGGTATCTTTGAAAGCACCACTGGAGTCAAGCTTGTTTATCTGAGGACTAGGGGGAAAATGCAGCACTAACTGTATTCACAAATGTCAAGTTCTTGGACATTATAAAGTGTTAATCTAACTTCTCATTTTTTTTGCAGTAAGTTTTCAGAACTCTGTATGCAATACCATCCTCACTGTGATTTTTCCTGGAACGTATCATGGAGTACATATGGAAGCTAAGGAAATTCTGGGATCAGTTTCAAGCTATCAAGTCTATGCTTGTTTGGAGATCTGTTTCTTTTGTTTCCTCCTTCTTGGTATCATTTTCAACCCATTCCCTAAGAAAACATACTGTACCATGACAGTAATAATGGCAATAACCTGTGCTGACATTTCTGATACACTAGTGTCAATTAAACAAGCGGAACTCCAAGCTACTAAGGCAGCTTTTACTTCATTTTTGGTAGAAACAACAGCAGTTACAGCTGGAACTGAACAGAGGGTGATGTGGTAACTAGACAGAGCTGCTTCAGTCAGCAAAGAATCATTTCTGTGTTTGTGAATGCACATCAGTCTACGTAAGAAGAATACACTGCAGACATGGGACAAATGCTAACGGCTTTAAAATCCCAAACCAAAACAAATGAAGTTTCTAAACAAAATTTAGTCAGAGCTGCAGTATCAGCATATGAACACAAACACCCCCTCTCTATTCAGAAGTGAACCAGCCTCACATGGGAAGAGTGACTGTTGGACCCATTATCACTTGCAGTTTGCCCACCATCACAAAAAACATACTGTTGCATATAGAGAGTCACCAATTCTGGAGTGAGCTGTTCATAGCTTTACATTAACGGTGCTCCCCAGCTACACTAATAGAACTTTTATTCCTCTTCTCCCTAGAGCATTTTACAGTTATAAACAACATAATTATGAATCCTTTCCACTTCTCTCAAACATTTTTATTATGCATTTTCCTGTTAGATTCTGCTATGGCAAAAGGTGACAATATGAGGAAAAATGAGCTTCTATAGTTTAAGGACTGCAAAGCATTACAGACTGCTTGTTACTGTATACCACCTTCCCATTTGCCATTTAGATCAAAAATATAAGAGATAAAAGGAAGATGAGGAGGTGTTGCAAGAGGCTGTTTAGCTGTCATTTGCAGCACTGTGATTCTGATCAGTACTCAACTCAGCTCTTACTCTAGATGTGATGACAAATTTAGGGCTCTCCAAGGGCGGGATTAATCTGACTGAAATTAAGTACTATAGTGTCAGCATTGACATCTGAGCTAGTTATCCTAAACTACTTGTATAGAGAATGCAGAGAACCAGACATTTTAGGGCACCTTTCGTCTTGTTCTAGGGCAAACGTATAAAACAGGTCAGATGAACAGAGCCATGTAATCACCTACTTCTCACCACAGGCCCCAAGGGAAACCTTGGCAACTCGCTCAACTGCGGACAGCTCCATTGTGCATACTTAATTTGAGCCAGAGGAAGTAAAATCCAATGGTTTTAACCATTACTAAGCAGTAGGGCATTTTAATGCTCCCTGAATACATCCTATTGTGCCAACCAGCTTCAGACCATTTATTCTAAACACGTTTGCTAGAATTATCTAACCCTACACTGTAAGACAAGACTCCACTTCCTAAATATATGAAGAATATCATACCTGGATGTATCCTTGCTGATCAATTAAAAGATTTTCAGGCTTTAGATCTCTGTAGATGAGGTCTAATGAATGGAGGTACTCAAATGTTAGCACTATCTGAGCTGCATAAAACCGTGCATGTGGTTCACTGTGAAGAATTAAAAGAATATTAAGTACTCCAATGCTATGCTAAGATACCGAAACAACCACGTAACTGCCAGGGATATACAAATTAAGTATCTTTTAACTGGTTCTTTTACATTGTAACAAGAAAAAACAAAAGCAAACAGCAAACATTTTGGGAATTATACACTCATTCCCTAAATTTAAGCCTTGCAGCTAAAATACACATGCAAATCAAGATGAATGTATCCCACAATACAGAGCTTAGACTTCAAATTTTAGTTTTAGAAACTACCATCAATTTCATTGGCGATATGCATAGTTTCAAGATTCTATCATGCACAGATCACAAAGCCCTCCATTAACTAACTGAAAAAATAAGAAATAATTGCAAGTTTTTCATTGCCTGACTAGTTTAAGTCCACTGAAAGAGGACTTAATTTAATTAAATGCACTTATCCCTTCAAAATTTTTTCTTCCAATACTAACAAATTTTATAAAACCCTCCTCCCAAATTAGCAACATAAGCCTTTTTAAAAGGAAAGATGTCATTAATACTCTTACCTGAACCTTCCAATTCTTCTTAGATGTGAAAACATTTCACCACCAGGAACATACTCCATTACCATGTATAAATTAGAATTGTCCTAAGGAAGCAAGTAAACACACTCAAATACATATTAGGCATGCTATAGTTCCTATAATTCCTGCATAAGGTATATTTTATTAAAGAATGAAAATGAAAATTGTAGTCATTCAATGACCTTAACAAATATAAAGCAACACAGGTAGAAATTCTCAAAAAAGTGCAAGCACACGTGACCAAAGGAGCATCACAGAACTCAAGAAATCTATTTAAAAGTAAATTTGAATACAGATAATTACTGAGGTCCTGACAGAGAATGGTGTGTAAGTGACCTGA